GAGGAGCAGAAGATGTTTCATCAGTGGTAGGACCAGGGGGGGTGGTTTTAAACTGAGAGAGGGGAGGGTGAGGTGAGAGATGAGGGAGAAATTCTCCTCTCTCAGGGTGGGGAGGAACTGGGATGGGCTGCCCAGGGAGGCTGGTGATGCCCCATCAAAAGCCCTTGAAGGTTTTTAAGGTCAGGTTTGCCAAGGATGGAAGGGCTTTGCTGCCCAGCCTGGAGCTCCTGGTCAGGATGCAGCCTGGGAGCCTGAGGGTCTTTTGAGTGAGGGGAAGGACTTGGGGGTGGGGGGAGAGGAGAAGCTGGACATGAGCCCCCAGGGAGGGCTGGAGCCCAGAGAGCCAACCCAGCCTGGGCTGCAGGCAGAGAAGTGTGGGCAGCAGGGCCAGGGGGGGATCCTGCCCCTCTGCTCTGCTCAGAGCCCCCCTGGAGTGATGTGTCCAGCTCTGGGGCCCTCAGCACAGGGAAGATCTAGAGCTGTTGGAGAGGGGCCAGAGAAGGGCCAAGGTGCTGGGAGGGCTGGAGCAGCTCTGGAGCCAGGCTGGGAGAGTTGGGGTGTTCAGCCTGGAGAAGAGAAGGCTCCAGGGAGACCTTAGAGCAGCTTCCAGTGCCTGAAGGGGCTCCAGGAAAGCTGGGGAGGGACTTGGGACAAGGGCAGGGAGGGAGAGGACAAGGGGGGATGGTTTTAAGCTGGAAGAGGGGAGATTGAGGTTGGACATGAGGAGGAAATTCTTTGCTGTGAGGGTGGTGAGAGCCTGGCCCAGGTTGCCCAGAGAAGCTGTGGCTGCCCCATCCCTGGCAGTGTTGAAGGGCAGGTTGGATGGGGCTTGGAGCAGCCTGGGCTGGTGGGGGGTGTCCCTGCCCATGCAGGGGGGTGGAGCTTGGTGATCTTTAAGGTCCCTTCCAACCTTGCTGATTCTATGAAGCTGTGGCAGGTGTCAGCTGCCCTGAGCAGCCCAGAGGGGACAGGGTGGTGATTTGCTGACCTCAAAGCCAAGGGGACATTTCCTGTGGGAATGCTGGTCTTGGAGCACCTTCCTGCTTTGAGACATTTGGAGTTCAAGTCCTCTCCATCCCCAGATCCTTCTGTTTCAGCTACAGGCCAGGGTGGCTCCTGGTGCTGGGATCTTGGGGATGTCAGCCTGGAGTCATCCCTGCATCCTCCTGGGGTGTGTGCTGATGTGAAGGTGCTCTGGGTGTTGGATGGAGATGCAGAGGGTTGAGGATCAGGAGGGTTGGAGATGAAGAAGGTTGAGGATGAGGAGGGTTTGGAGGATGAGGAGGGTTTTGTGGATGAGGAGGGTTGAGGATGAGGAGGATGAGGAGGGTTGAGGATGAGGAGGGTTTGGAGGATGAGGAGGGTTTGGAGGATGAGGAGGGTTTGGAGGGTGAGGAGGGGTTTGGGGGTGAGGAGGGTT